TCAAAACTCTCCAGTGTTTTTTCTAAAAATAAAACCTAAGGTCCTTGCCATTACCTGCAAGGACCTACATGCTCTGATCCCAAAATTAGCTCTCTCCCTCCTCAGCTGCCAGCCGTTGCCTTGTTCGCTCTGTTCTGCAAACACAGGCCCACATGCTGATGCTCAAAAGAGCCAAGCCAAGCTCACCCACCCTGGGATTCTGCACAAGCCCTTCCCCCCCACCAGCAGGTCTTGTGACTAGTCACATGACTAGTTACATGATTGCTTCCCACCCTTCCCCCTGTCCCTGTGCAAATAGTCCCCACAGAGGCCTGCCATGGCTACGGTGTCTAAACTAGCACCGTCCTCTCGCTGTCTCCTTCCTTCGCTCTCACTTCCCTCAGTGCACTTCTCACTTCCTGCGTGTATCCTGCCATGTGCATCACATATTGCCTGTCTCCCTCTGTGAAGCAGGCTCTGTCAGGGCAGGAAACTGCCATGTCCACCACGTGTCTCCAGCACCCGAGCCTGTGGGTCAGCCCTCCATCCACGCACTGAACCAACAGAAGCTGTTGCAGAATTCTGGGGAATGACAGGATCACAATGTGGCCGGGAGCAAACCTGGGGGCAGGGGTGCCAGGCGGGGCTCTCGCCCAGGTGCAATGAGCTGACTTGGGAGTCAGGCAGAGGGAGGGGAGACGTTAAGGAGAGACGGGTGCACCCCAATTTTTCTTGAGCCTCAGTTCTCTATCTGTGCTGTCTACAAACTCAATCTGCCAGCTACATACTTAGCCAACTAGTGTCTTGATGCAGATCGAGAGAATAGGACAAACGGAAGTAGGCCCAGAAGGGATGGACTTTGATGCCTTCGTCCTCCCTATGAGGAAACTGAGCTTCGGGGAGACCAGAGGGGCCCCTCAGAGTCTCCTGGCTTCTAAATGGAAGCAGCCAAGACCGGCATCTGCTCTGACTTATTCCAACTTCTGGGCTCTTTCCACAGGCCCACTGGCTGTGCTGCAAAATGGTCCCGGGGAAAAAAACGTAAGAGCTTTAGCATCGCAAGGACTTTGAAGCTGCTAATTGTCTTAAAAATAACTTGCTATGTGATTACAAGTTTAAGTTTGGCTGCTTGCACCATTTTAATTGTCTTTGGGGTTGTGCTGAGAAGTCCCGGGAGAGTTACATCAGATGTTTGCTTGGGCCTTTCTGTTCAATGGCTTTGAACTTGGCACCCGGGGTTGTTAATTTAGGGTGGATCCTCCACTTGCCTTCATATAACCCCCCCCCCACAAACACACACACACACACACACACACACACACACAAACATGTCTACCCAGTGTCATCTTTGTGGTAAGACTTAAAAATAGGATTATGTCCAATTATCCTATTGCAATAGAAAAAATGCAAAATGACCCGAGTCACATGCGTAGACAAGACAGGCTGAATAAAGGTCAAGAAAACCACTTCTCTTGAACTAAGGTAGACTCGTGGCATCCCCACACCACAAATGGAAACCACCCAGGCAAGAACACCTCACTAGCAAGTGTGACAAATGCTAAGGGCACCGCTCCTCTTCCCGAGTCTCCTCCCTCCGCCGTATGATGCACAGAACCCAGGAGCGTTTCATTAATTCATGTAAGTAGGTTGCTCGTTCCTAATGAGCTCATCCCAGGAAGGTGGTTAAGCACTTCGCTCTCCGGGTGAGAAGATGTGTGATCCCGACACCCACAGTGAGAAAAGCCTGGGGGCAGGGGGTGGGGGGAGTTCACATGGGGCTGACAGCCCGGGGGGGGCTGAGAAATGCAGCGGAGAAGAGCAGTGCTTCAGTTGGCAACTCCTTTCCTTTCTACCGAAGTCTGACCTTGACCCACACCCGAGGCGGACAGACCCCGGGGCACGTCTGTGGAGACCTGTGGCTCAGCCTCTCCCTTGCAAGCATCTCTCTTCCCACGCTGCGCCCCAACTCTGCTGGCCTTGGTGGGCTTTTGCTTGTTTAGATATATTTTTATTGATTTCAGAAAATGAAGGAAGAAGGAGGGAGGAGAGATAGAAACATCGATGATGAGAGAGAAGCATCAATCAGCTGCCTTCTGCACAGCCCCTGATGGGGATTGAGCTCGCAGCCTGAACACGCCATGAGAATCAAACCGGTGACCTTCTGGTGCATGGTGCAATGCTCAACCACTGAGCCACTCTGCTGAAGCTGTTGTGTTTTATAAAAGCTCTCTCATAATCTGAGAGTATAAGGGAGAGAGCTGTTAGAGGTTGTGTGTCCCCCTAAAATTCAAAAGTTGAAATCCTTACCGCCAGTCCCTCAAAATGTGATTGTGTTTGGAAATAGGGTTGTGGCAAGTGGATCTCATTAAGATGCCATCATACTGCAGAAGGATGGGACCCTAATCCAATATGGCTGCACCTTTACAGAGAGGGAGTCTGGACAAACACAGGGAGAGTGCAATGGGACAGCCCCAAACCAGGAGCTCCCTGGTCAAAATCAGGGCTTCTACTCCATGTTCACGATGAGGCTGGCATTCCACAGCCCCCGGCTTTCCATGGCAGCAGTCACCCATAGTCACCCAAGGTATGCAAATAGATGGAAAAGCCTAGAAGTCATCAATTCATAGGTTTTAGGGTGCACGCCATTCCGTGTAGCATGAGGGAACCCCACACTGCTCTGCTTGTCTGACCTTTGCCCAGTGTCACCCACGGTCAACACTCCATCTCCCAGCGGCCACCGGGGTGACCAGACCACCTGCCACAGTATCACAAAGCTGGTGTTCAAGTCGCCCTGATTTCACACAATGAGGCTGCGGTCACGTCACGTTTACCTTGGTATATCATTTTAATTGTCCCGTTTTACTATTAATTGTTAGTGCCCTTCTCTTGCTGTGCCTAATTCACACATTAAACTTTATCATAGGAATGTATGTATGGAAGAAATGGTAATACATATTGGGGCTGGGGGTCTTGAGATGTATCCCCCCATGGAGAAGTGGGGCTGTTGTATGTTGGAATTAGAGAATCATTCAGCAGAAAGACTCTTCAGCTCTCGAGACACCCATTTATTGCATGTAGTAACTATTTATTGTATTGACATATTTACAAAATACTACAAAATGAGATAGCACTTTAACCCACCGTTACACAAGGCCGCATACAGGCAAGACAAAGTACGTGGAAAACACTGACTTCTGTCTTTGGCATTAGAAATCTACACAGACCCGCGGCATTGAACAAATCCGTGTCCATACGGAGGTCACACGGAGACAAAGATGCCTGGGTGACAACATGAAAAAGGGCTCCGGCCGCCTCTGCGAGGAACCGCCCCCAGATCCGTGAAATGCAATAGAAAGACCACCATCCCAGGTGAGGAAGGCCGTCGAGTGGCTGAAGTAACAACACAGGAAACACACCCGCTCCTACCCCCGCCCAGGAGCATGTCAGCATGTGTGACGCTGCTGCTTCTGTGGTCACAGCGACAGGTGACACCTTCTCTGACTCACAGCTGCAGGGAAGATGGGGACACACCGTGAGGGTACACCTCTACTGTACAGACATCTCATAAAATTAGTTTCCATGATCACTGACACATACATACACACGCGCGCGCACACGCACACACAACTTGAACTGGTTTTCGCAAATAGTAATTTCTCTAAAAACACAATCACAGTTTACATAATTCTGAGGTAAAGGTCCCGATCTATCCTATCTGAGAAGGCCTAGCCCCGGGGGTCGCTACAGGGGGAGGCGGTCACTGAACATTAGGTTCTGGAACTCAGGAGGGGTGGGGAGCAAGCAGGTGGCACCTCCCTCACGTCAGACATGACCCACAACCTCCAACTGAGCTCGTCCAGCCTGGCTTCTTAAGCTAAGACAGTGGTCGGCAAACTCATTAGTCCACAGAGCCAAATATCAACAGTACAACGATTGAAATTTCTTTGGAGAGCCAACTTTTTTAAACTTAAACTTCTCCTAACGCCACTTCTTCAAAATAGACTCGCCCAGGCCATGGTATTTTGTGGAAGAGCCGCACTCCAGGGGCCAAAGAGCCGCCTGTGGCTCGCGAGCCGCAGTTTGCCGACCACGGAGCTAATGCGTCTCAGGTTGGGTTTGCTTCAAACCCAGTACGCTCCCTGGTCTCGCGTGGACGTCCCTTCGTGCTGCAGAGAGACCGGTCCGTCGGGAGAGGGCCGTTAGTGTCTTCAGCGGGCGTCCTGGCCGGGCCCCTGTGCATCGCAGAGGGAACGTGTCCCAGAAAAGCAAAGGTTTGGTCAAATCAATCCGCTGCAGAAACTGCTCTTCCCGCTGGGTCACACCCCCCAAAAAGGGGCTGCTGATGGGGTGGGGGGGGACCCTCAGTAAGAAACTGGGGGCCACGCTAAGGAAGCCCGGAAATGCCTAGTGACCCTCCGGTCCCAGAAATGCAGGCAGGACCCCGCTGTGCTTTCCTTCCAAAACCCTACACAGCCTGGTTTGTGCTTGTGCTGCTGTCAATGCTCCAGGGAAGGAGGGAAATTGGCGACTGTCCTACCTAGGTCTTTTTTGGGGGGAGGGGGGGAAAAGGGGGGGTAGAGGAGGAAAAAAAGGCCCGTGTTATAGTTGTTGTTCCTGTCAAATGACTTGATAGCCCTTAATCTGCTTCTGTAAACAATACGTCCTCACTCAGGTCCCTTACGACTGCCTGTCCCCTACCAGCCTAGGTGGCTTTACCAAGCAAGAGACCACATCTCCACAACAACCCTAGGAGGTCACTGGGGCGGAGGGTCTCACAGGGAGATGCTTGCTTTTATGTGCTTTCTTTCTCTGTATACAGTGACTCACCACTGTGACCAGAGCAACAGAGGAGGAGCTGAATAAGAGTGCTCGCCCCGAGCCCCCTGCGAGGCCCTTTAAGACGAGGACTCATACTGGACCCTCCATCAGCTGCCGGACAGCAGAGCTCTCATGGGCTCTGTGCTGGGAAGGGCAACATAGAACTTTGGACCATGAAAGATTCTGGCGAATGGCACGTGAGAAGAAACCAGCGGGAAGCGTTTTCTTTTGGCGGCATCATGGGGTCGGACTGGATGAAGGAAGTAGAAAGATGAACCATGTGTTTGCCGGGCTCTCTGGGGGAGAAAAGCAAGCTCGGGCTTTGCCCTGGCCCTCGGCGATGACCCACTGGTCGCTGTCCTTTGCCCAGCTGTTCGTCAGCACCGGCCTTTTCAGACCTCAGGATTAAGACTCAGGAGGGAGGGCGTGAAATAGCTGGAAATGCAGCTTTTCAAACACATCGGTTCACTCGCAGTGCTGTGAAGGCTTCGTCTGTCCTGTCTCGAAGTGTCCAGCCTGACGTTGCTGGTCTGGCACCTACTCATCCATCTCCACGTACGTGGACGGGAACCAGCCCACCTACAGGAGAGAAGCAACCACTGAGCCACGTGACTTCACACCTGCCCCTCGAGGGGTCCATCCAGCATGTGGGTTCCCCAACACCCCATTGAGCTGGAGTGACAGACCCAGTGCAGGTGAGTAAGGCGGGAGTATGGGCTCCTGGAGCGGGACAGCGTTCCCATTGGCTGGCACACAAATGAATATGCAAAGGAAGGGTGGCTCTAGCATGGAATGATTCCTCTTTCTGTCACAGAATCAGCGGGGTAAGAAGACAGAGGTCCTAGGTCCCTTTCCTCCCAACTGAGATTAGCAGCCCAGAGAGACAGTGTGTCTGCACATCAGGTTTCTGCTCTGAGGCCAAGGGACTAATGCTGAAATGCTCAACCCTCTTCCCAATGAGAAGCCACACCCTTGTGCAGGTGACCTTGGCTTATGCCCCCACCACATTCCCTCGGTGCATGCTCCTTGCGGGCCCACTGTGGGTAAGAAACACCAGCAGGGCCTGGAGCCAGAGTCTGGGGAGATGAGGGCTGCCGGTTGGAGGGCTGCTCCCCAGCAGCTCGAGATGGTCTACAGCAGCCATGACCTTCGTTCACGGGCAGAGCACATGAGCGGGCGAGCTCACCTTGCCGTTGGCTTCTCCTCGCCACCAGCCGTTGCCGCTCATCTTGGTGTAGATCTTCACCACGTCCCCCTTCAGCAGGGACAGCTCGCGCATGTCTCTCGCGCAGAAGTCGTAGCGCGCCACGGCGATGCCCAGCACCTTGGGGCTCAGCACTGCGGAGACAGGACGGGGAGCCACTGACGTGCGGTGCGAGGACCCGAGGGGCCAAGCGGGGGAGCGTCGGTGATGCTGTCACATGCGGAGGTGTGACTTCAGATGGACTAGCGACAATGGCAGGCAGCCTCGGGGCGAGCAGCAGGATGGCTTTCGGGGCAATCGGGGGTCAAGGTCACATCCTAACGTCTAAAGGCCACAGTTCTGTCCTCATATTCTTCAAAACGACAAAACAGGCACTCGTTTTTTATGTTTTTGTATCATGTCTTTTTTTTGTTTTTTTTTTTTAAAGGTTCCTATCAAAAGAGAAAGTACTAGCACACACTTCCTACAGATGCCACATACTCTGCTTCTAACTAGAACCTGCAGGCAGAAAGCTTTCCATTTTAGCTGGAACCTTTTAGGACTAAGACTCAAAACCACCAGTTTGTTTTTGCTCAGAAATTCTTCAGTCCATCGCTTCCAGTTAAATGGCACTTCCTCCCCCAGCCGGCCTCTTTGTTGTTATTGCTAGACGTATTTGGGGCTAAACTCAGTTATTGTTTTATATGTCATCTCACGTATGTGAAGAAGCTTCAATCAGGTTTTCACAAACATAGTTCATCTTTTATTTCCAACGAATCCTGCCCCACAGAAAACCTTCACTGAAGTATGTCATTAAAAATGGTGTCAGTTAGGTCGGTGTGGCTCAGTGCTTGAGTGTCCACCTATGAACCAGGAGGTCACGGTTCGATTCCTGTTCAGGGCACATGCCCAGTTGTGAGCTCGATCCCCCATGAGGAGCATGCAGGAGGCAGCCGATCAAGGAGTCTCTCTCATTATTGCTGTTTCTCTCTCTCTCGTTCCCTCTCCTTTCCTCTCTCTCTCTCTCTAAAAAATCAATAAAAACATACTTCTTTTAAAGACTATCTCATCGTGTTCATCTCCTATATTCAGATTGTTGGAATGGTTGACACTAACGGGTTGTTTGATCAGGAGCTCCCTTACTGCCTGCCCAAACCTGCCTTGAAAGGAAAACGCATTCCAGCTGCTTGCAGCGAGTGCTGCATAACACGCTGATATAGTCACTTCCCTACCTGTTGCTCTTTGGGGTTATAAAGTGTTTCAATTATACGTTCAGTGATTCTGAGAATCACTCACCTGGGATGGAAGGAACTAAAGTAGAATAAAAAGAAACAAACAGGAAACACCATCCGTGTTGGCAACAGTGCGCAGAGCCCAGCAGCCACCATGGCGACCTGTGCTGCCAGCAGAGCCTGCGCACACATGTGGACACGGGCTCTCTGGCCCAGTACGCGTGGCTTTGCAATGACAGAAATGTTTTTAGCCTCCAGCTGTCAATCATACGATAAACAAATGGCAATGCTGCAGACTTCAGAAGTGTAAAGGGAGTGAAAACGGGTCATTTTATTTTACTGTTCGGACAAAACTCACTTGAATCGTTTTCCGATTGAGTTACAGGGCACGCCTTGCCTCGATGGGCACACATAAAAATACCCGTGGCGGGAAAAGCCCATTATCGGCTGAGCCGGGAGGCCTGGCCTGGGTCTCTGAGGTTCCGGAGGCCACATTTTTCCCGCCTGTGAGATGAGAGGTGTGTGCTAGATGGCTGACTTCTGAGGCCCTCCTCCTTCTAAATGGTTCTGCTGGGACTTAGAATTTTATTTTTTAAAATCTGTAAGGAAAGGTCCTTTTTCTAGCCATAATGTACTCTCCTCAATGCCCCATAAATAACCAAATCAATTCTCTGGCTAATGATAGAAACCGAGACAAAAATACCCAGAAATGAAACGATGGGCATGACCTCCCTGGAGCCATCATGCTGAATTTCACTCTTACATTTGGAGACCCTGTTAGGACGTATGTTCTATTTATTTCCTGAACGCTGGCTTTTCTCAACTAAAATGTCCACCCTTCAGGAAACTGACAGTGTTACAGGGTATTCCACGCCCTCCTTTATACTCTCGGTTCTCATCCCTCCCTCACCTCTTCCGACAAGTTGAATCAAAACTGTCTTGCTGAAATACAGAACCAGAACGGGGGCTTGTGAACACGAACACACACACACAGATACACACGCACGCACCGGAAGAGTGGAATGCCACACACACACACACACACACACACATGCACCGAAGGAGTGGAATGCCACACAGGAACACAGGCATACATACACACACACACACACAGGCTCACACACACATGTGCGCACCAGAAGAGTGAAGGCCATGGTGAGCAGTGACTGCGACAGAGGGGAGGGAGTGTGGGTGCGGATGTGACCTGGGCTGTGGGGGAGGAGATGCATCTACATGAGCAGCCACACGGAGAAGGCAAACTGTCTTCTTTGCAAACAGAAGCAAATGGAAACGATACGGACGAGCAGTGGAGCAGTACCTGACCAGAAAGGAGTGGAGGAAGGGGGGACAAAGCTGAAGTCTGGAGGAGGGACAAGAGAAAACCCACAGAGCAGAGAGGGGGCTGAGAGAGAGAGAGAGAAAAGCAAAAAGAACATTTAGGTGTCGGCAAAGGAAAAAAATACATCTCGACACAACCACCCCGTTGCCTGTAACGTTTCTCTCTGTTTCTCCCTCTCCCTTCCACTTTCTCTAAAAATCAATGGGAAAATATCCTTGGGTGAGGATTAACAACAACAATAAAAATTCAAATAAACAAATAAACAAAGCATTGGGGCAGAGTCACAGATTTACGTGAAGATTATAATCCTGTGACATGAGAACAATCCAATGGTCTTGGAGGATAGACCATGGTGCATTCCTACTGAATGAAGTACTAATTCGCTTCCTTCTGGTCACCTGAGAGAAAAATACAAAACTCCTCCACCTCTCTGAGAATCTAAGATACCTGGGTAACATTGGGCTGAAAAATAGAAAGATAACTTCTAATGGGTGTGTGAAGTTGCAATTCCGAGTGTGCTGTGACTACCTTGGCTGGCCATCTGTCAGAAATCCTTCCAAAGAGAATAGCTGTTAAGTTATCCAGATAAACACCAAGCCTATTGGTGGGTGTGACAGATCACTTCAGCGGTTGCTTACGGATGCATGTGACATTGTGCAGACGCTGTCAGAGCCCTGACGTAACCTATGTCTCCTTCAGGTTCTGCTTTTGGGGGTGGGAGAGGGAGAGGTGAAGTTCTATTACACAGATGCAAACTCCTTTTTGAAATACCTCTGGAAATTCCAGTTTTGCTTAGGATAACATTCTGGGAGTGATAAAATTGCACTCAGTTAGCCTTCAAAATAGTTTTATGGTTGTTGTAATTTTTTTTGTTTGTTTTATTTTTAAGATATCAAACTAAGAGAATGGGATCACGCTTTACTCCTCACGTTTTCCATCACGATGGTCTCTCTCCCAGCTCTGTCTACCTGCAGGAAGACCACGTGACCAAGCGGTGATGAGACAAAGTGTCGGCCTTGAGCTCACATCCAACCAGAGCCTGCTTTCAGTCTGAGTGCTAATCTCTGATGACCTGTGCTTGACCCAAAAGACAGTGGCTTTCAGCAGTCCTGGCCACAGAGGAAACATGACCCGGAAGTCATCTTTAAACAGGATCCCAGGATGTGCGAGAGCTGGGCATGCGCCTTGCTTCAATACTGCTACCCAAATGGCACTGTGACCGCAGACACGAGTAAAATGAAAAGAGGTTGGCTGCCCTGGCCCATGTGGCTCAGTTGGTTGGAGCATCATCCTGTACCCTGAAGGGACACAGGTTCCATTCCTGGTCACGGCACCCACCCAGGTTGAAAGTTCGATTCCAGCTTGAGGCATTTATGGGAGGCAGCCGATGGATGTTTCTCTCTCTTTCTCTCCCTGCTTTTCTCTCCCCCCATTCCGCCCTCTCTAAAAAAATAAATTAATTAATAAACATATTCTCTATTGAGGGATTAAAAAAAGTTTGGCTGATGTAAAAGTCATTGAAAAGTACAAAAATTCCATATTAACATACCCTTTACATTTTCTGTGGAGCTCTGAATGCAAACATGATTTTTAACTTGGCACAAAGAACCGTATGTGGAAACGTCTTAATAAACCTGCTGGGCCGTCTGACTGCTGAGCTGGAACGCCCCCTGGCTAAAGGCATTAGCATGTGAACTGCTTTATAGCTCAGACTCTAGGAGAAAGAAGCTGGACGTCCTTGTGCCCCCACCCATTGGAGGGCGGTACTCACAGCTGCTGCCCACCCGGCTGCCCCTCTGCCCAGCCACAGGCTCCGGCTCCTTGTATGGGAACTGGAGGGTGGTATCCAGGCTCCGGAAGCCTTCCTTCAGGGAGTGGTGCTTGTAATACTCCACCAGCTCCTGAGGGCAAAGAGAATGAAGGTCATGGTTAAGAAGGCCCGGCCAGTTCTCAAACGCATACACAGTTCTCCTTCACATATACGTGAATGAGGATGGGCCATTCGATATGCAATTTCCCATAAGCCTATGGGACAATAAATAACAGTCACTCCCTGCCATCTGCCTGTACGGTACACCTGCTCAGGGACTGTCTTGGTTTCTCTGCCCCTTGTAATTGCAGTTGTCCCTATTGTCACTCATGGATGGAGCGCATCCTGTGAGTCTTCTGTCAGACTAAGGAGAGACCGCACTCCATGAAAAGAAACCAAACTGAACGTCAATCTCAGAACAGCAATTATTGCTCCTATTTATGAGATACTTGCTTTTCTAAACAAAAACAAAGGGAGCAGCTGCTTGCTGAATACAGAGCAATTTCTAGTTTCCTGCATTTCCTTCCGACGTCACGAAGAGCAAACTTGGTTGTCAATGTACTTCTCCACGATGAGCCAGTGCTGATAAGCCATGGGTGCTGCATGGCGTTGCATGTGTTAAATGATGAAGTGTCCACAGATGCCCATGTCTCAGCTCTGTGTGGCCTCTGGCACTTATACAGGTCACTGACGTGGCTCCTCCGATCTTCTCTAATACTCATTGGCCTCATATACACCCAAGCCCAATGTAATAACCTCCCGTCTACTTTCGCACTGGAAGTTCAGGAAATTTCTTACGAGATGCTGGTTGCATGGATTCTACACAAATATCCAAATCCTCCCCGCCTTTAAACAGAAATTAAATAGTAATGAATTCATAATGGGAAAATGCATATGATGATCAGATGACTACCGGAGCTATAACATTTCTTACAAATAGCTGGAATGAAAATAAAAGCAACATCCCTTTTAACTCAATTATTTGTTGCTTTGACTGCAGCGCAGTAGGTGAAAACCAGTGTAGAACCTACTCATGGCTTCTATAAACCACACTGATGTCAACTCGGTATCTCCATTCTGTAGGTTATGTTCCAAGTTCCCGAAACAAGTCAATAGGGCCAAAAATCACCCGGAAGAAGAAAAGGAGAATGGTCAAGGCTCTATGAATCATTTATCACCTAACTCCGAGGACCTGTGGAAAATCACCGAGGGGAGAGTTTCCGGGTCACAAAGATTATGGAGATCGGGCCCTGCCCTCTAGGGGTTCTCACCCTTGAAGGAAAGTGAGGGATTATGGGAGTCCAAAGGCAACACAGAGAACTTCCTTTTGTGAGTACTTTTTGAAGAATGAGAGAAGAAAGTTCATGATACAGCCTGGCTTAAATTGAAGAACATGTACAACTTCAAAAGCCAGGAAGGAGGAAAGAATTGTTTTATTTTTTAATATATGTTTATTGATTTCAAAGAGGAGAGAGAGAGAGAGAGAGAGAGAGAGAGAGAGGGAGAGAAACATCAATGATGAAAGAGAATCAGAGATCAGCTGCCTCCAGGACGCCCCACAATGGTAGACAAGCTGCAACCACGCATGTCCCCTGAGCGGGAATCCAACCGTGACCTCCTGGTTCATAGATTAATGCTCAACCACTGACCACGCCGGCCGAGTGGACTGTTTTAAGTAGAGCCTCCAGGCTGGGAACAGACAGGAGGTGATAAAGACCACACTCAGACTACAGGCAGTGCGGCGGGGCTGAGCACTGGATAAAGCAAAGGGAGATTTTCCAACTCTCACATCTGTAAGATGGGGATGAGAGACAATTTCATGGAGGATAGTAAAGAGTATGTGACGTGCCAGGCACAGGTGAGGATCATGACCGCTGCCACCATGCCCTGACCAGTTACATAGTTTCTCACAATCTTCACACAAGACAGGAGAGGTGGGCCTTGTCCCCAGGGGTGCGGAAGTCCAGTGAGCTTCTTCCCCATGTGCGAGGTCACAGAGCTGGTGTCTGCTCCCACCTGCATCACGCTATGAGGAAGCAGCACCTGGCAAAGGTAAGCCCACACAAAAAAGGGCCACGGGGAAGGAGCACTTGCTAAGAGCCCGATATGGACCAGGAACTTTATGTGCGTAGACCTGAGATGCTAGGCTCTTACACACATTCTGTCTGTAATATATATCTACCTATCTGCCCGGTTGGTGTTACTCAGGGGTTGAGCATCAACCTATGAGCCAGAAAGTCAAGGTTCAATATCTGGTGAGAGCACATGCCCGGATTGTGGGCTTGATCCCTATGTGGGGTGTGCAGGAGGCAACCGATCAATGATTCTCTCTCATCGTTGATGTATCTCTCTCTCTCTCTCCCTCTCCCTTCCTCTCTCTGAAATCAATAAAACCTTTTCTTTTTTTCTTGGATCCAGATTACAGGATTTCTTTAAAAAAATTTTTTAATACATTTTATTGATTTTTTACAGAGAGGAAGAAAAAGATAGTTAGAAACATCGATGAGAGAGAATCATCGATCAGCTGCTCTTGCACACCCCCTACTGGGGATGTGCCCACAACCAAGGTACATGCCCTTGACCAGAATTGAACCTGGGACCTTACAGTCCACAGGCCGACGCTCTATCCACTGAGCCAAACAGGTTTCGGCAGATTACAGGGATTCTTGATGAAGAAAAGGAATTTGTAATCTGACAAGAAGAAAGAGGAGGATGAGGAGGATGAGGAGGAGGAACGACAAAATATTAGACAGAAATTTATATCCTCAAAATGGTTTCAATGATCAGAATATGGCATTTGCATTACAGTGATTTTTAACATGTTCTGCAAAGGCCAAATCTGGGATTAAATTCTAGAGGTGGCTATGACTATGTAACCTTTTTTACATAAAAAGGGGAAAGCCTGCCAGGGCTCTGAAAGAGCGGTGCTCACATAGACTGTGAGGATGATTCAAATGACCCCAGAGGGCTGTTCTTTCAGGCTCCTTATTTCAACTGAGTAAAACGTAACAAATACGAAAATAAACCAGAAAAGAATAAGTCAGTAACTTTGAATTTCAAGGTGATTCGGTTACAAGTAATACAGTTTTTATGTATTTTATCATAAACTAGAAGCCCAATGCATTAAATTCTGGATAGAGGCCCAGTGCATGGGGGGGGGGGGGGGGTCCATCAGTCCAGCCTGCGCCCTCTCGCAATCCGGAACTCCTTGGGGGATGTCCGACTGCCGGTTTTGGGACTGCTTGCCCCTAACTGCTCGCCTGCCTGCCTGTTCAGTGCACATCATAGCAACCGGTCATCCAGTCATAACAGTAGCTTAGGCTTTTATAGATTAGTATGCATTTAGGTTTATGCGAAGTTGGCTCCAGTGATCATACTGAGAAGGACTTGGGGACCATCTCATAATTACCCACCTCCACATTTTATGGAAGAAAAACAGATTCTCCAAGCCCTAGGGTCATGCGAATGAGTAAGCTGCAAAACGCTTCTTTTATCACTTCACTAAGCACGGGATACATTCTGGCTCCATTTTTACAGTCTTAGGAGGGCGAGCCTTCCCACACGTTCTTAAGCAGGTAGAGTTAAACGATGCTGCCTGAATCCTCTCCCATGGATGCCTTTCTGCCTCCAGCCTTTCGGTCTAATCCGCCCCTGCTTACAGTCATTGACCTTCAGGTACTACAAGTAAATAAGACGACTCTAAACAAAAGCAACAGCTAAGCCTCCCTTATCTCGCACTCACACTGAGGAGTCGGCAACACCGGTCTCTCTCAGAAATAATGAGCCCCGTCACTCCGGTTACCCAGGCAACAGGCACTGGGGATGATTTATAAACAGCATTTGGCCCTGGATGGTCTGGCACACATGACAATTAGAACAAAATTAATGCCTTGTAATCTGGAGGCAGAGATTCATTTAGAATTTGCATTTAATGAGGAGGAAAACACCAAAAATCTTGATCCACCGAGTTACGGAAGCCCGAGGGGAACAAGTGAGGTCCCAGCCCCCGGAGGCCCAGCCTCTCTTTGGGGAACTGGCTCGATGAACACCAGTCCTGGAGGCTGGGGGTGCTGTACATCCTGGTCCAGATCAAAATCTCCTCCCAGGCCCCAAGCAGCTTCTGGGGTAGGAGGACAGAACTTGGCCACCAAGATGGGAGGATAATGAATTATTCTTAAGAAGACAAGTCAAAACCACAGACCCCACTCACGTGGGAGCTGTGCTACTGGACACCAACAGGATAAAAGGAAACGCTATGAAGCTGTGTGGCCCCACATGCCCAGTGATGGTGCCTATGAGCCTCCCCCGCCTCCCCACGGGACCAGTTCCTGGCAGGAGCTGTCCCTACTGATCGCAGGTCCTCATAGTATTTCCTACGTCAGGGTCCAAGGACAGTACCATGCTGAGGTCCTGGTACCAGGAGGGTGTGCTGACCTGAAAGCATCTTTAGAACCCAGTGGCATCCTTTCTAAATCCTGCAAACACACGGCAGTTTCCACAGTGAGGACGCGATGTGAATGTGTGCAACAAGAATGGAAGCCCAGAGCGGGGCAGCTCCAGACATGCTCAGCTATCTCATCGGCATTTGTTACAGTCAGGTGCTAAACGGGCCAAAGTGTTTTCCTCAGACTTATCAGCTCCTTATCTTTCATTCCTTATGCAATTACCGTCATGAGTAATGATGGGGATGGTTCTCAGAAAGGCATCCTTAGGCGATTGCATCATGCTAATGTGTAGGGGACACCGTGAGCAAAATCTCACATGAGACTGAATCAAGTACAAGAGATAATGCCATAGGGAGACTCAATGGATAAAGGTGTAACCCAGCATACAGTTTTACAGCCAACTATTTTTTATAAGCCAAAAGAATACACCCTAAAATAATTATTAAAAGTATAGTCAAGCCCTACTCAGTTTGGCTCAGTGGATAGAACATCGGCCTGCGGATTGAAGGGTCCCAGGTTCAATTCTGGCCAAGGGCACATGCCTGGGTCGCAGGCTAGATCCCCGGTGGGGGGCATGCAGAAGGCATCAGATCAATGTTCTCTCTCATCATTGATGTTTCTTTCTCTCCCTCTCCCTTCCTGTCTCAAGTCAATAAAAATATAGTTTAAAAAAATGTATAGTCCATACATAACTTAGTCACACAGTTGTTCACTGTCCTTATCAAGTATTACGTATGTCCTATGCTTTTTTAGAGGCTGGAGCGCAGTAGGTCTGCACACCAGCACCACCACAGACACGGGGGCAGGTGTTGTCCTACCATGTCACCAGGCGATAGGAATCTTTCAGCACCATTTTGTTGTTGTTGTTGTTGTTGTTAATTCTCGCTGGAGGACTTTTCTATTGATTTTTAGAGTGAAACAGGGAGAGGAGGGATAAAGAGAGAAGCGGAGAGAGGCATTGATATGACAGAGAGGCACATCGATTGGTTGCCTCCCACACCCACCCCAACCAGGGCTGGGAATCAAGCCTACAACCGAGGTATGTGCCCTTGACCGGAATCAAACCCAAGACTCTTCAGTCCATGGGCCAAAGCTCTAACCATAGAGCCAAACCAGCCAGGGCTTCAGCTCCATTTTAATCTTATAGGATCTCCATTATAGATGCAGTTGGTCATTGACATATCCTTTGCTCACGTTTTATAGTTTCAGTGTAGTTTTGCTATTAATTCTTAATCCCTTCCCTTACATTGACCGTGCTGTCTGCCTGACAGAAGATCCCGGATATGGAGGAAATCATACCCATGTGTCTCCGGCTGTGGCATTTCACCTGTCAGATGAGGGTTGCTCATGTTAGCTCTGGGACAGGGGCTCTTAACCTTCGCTTCCAGAAGATCGCTGCGAAAGAGGGCATTGCTCTCTGTGCAAACTGTGAGTCCTGGGTCTCTAGCTTTTCTCCAGCCAAGGACCTCTGTCCCTAACCCAGTCTCTGTGGTATCACACTGGCTTTTCCCATCGGACCGCAGCTGCTGAAGAACTTTCTGGAGCAGAACTGGGTGGCACAGAGCTGCACTGCTCAACCCTTCCCAGAGACCCTTCTTTCCCTCAGGTCCCCTCAGCTCCTCTGCTAGGGGGTTTGCCGTTGCTGTTACTCTCCAAGTTGGCAGGGCTGGAGTTCAGCGTTGGCCCCACAGCAGCTTGATGCCTGCTAGTAACTGTGACACGTGGACGCCTTGTTCCCATCCCCAGGAGCCCTGCAGGTGCAGACTCGAGCTGGTGTGCTCTGCAGGGGCAAGAAGATGCCCGAACGCTCTGCACTCTTTGATCATGTCTGGGCTGGGCCGTCACTCAGCATCTGTGCATCCCAGGTCCTCAGGCGGGAGGGTGCTCCTCAGGCCCGCTCCTCTCTGCGCACAGCCTGCTGGGCCAAGAGGACGCGAGTCACAGCCCGCACGGGGGCCTGAGCCTGGAGCCGTTTCCTCTTCCCAGGATGTGATCTTGCTGCCCGCCTTCGTGTTTGAACGGGGACGGCGCAATTTCCGTGCAGAGAGGTTTCTGACTCTCCTTTTGACTCGGATGTCGCCCTTTCTTGGAAACCCGTTCCCGCCATGGCTCGGGTCCAGGTTTTTGGAGAAGGCCTGCCAGCTGCCTGCACGGAGACGCTTACTCTCCGCTCTGGCTTTGCTGTTCACATCTGCAAAGTGTCGAGAGATGTTTTCTGGAAGGCTGCAGCCTGGATCGCTAAATGGATGGCCCGGCCAGTCAGATGTCCTTCCTGATGCTCCTCAATGTGCCCGGGAGGCCACTCCCCACACATCCCACATCCTGGGTCCAAATTGTCATCATCTCAGGACATGCGCTCAACCCGAGAAACAAACCTGAGACCGCTCTTAAGGCAACAGGAACTCCTTTACTATCAGCACTGCACAGGCAGGATAGGGAGGTACAGGCATTGTCTATATGGCATATACATAACATTCTTAGCCACTAATACAACTATTAGGTTGTAATTATTTAAATGGAATATTTTATTAAATGATTGTATTAAATTATTTAAAATTATATATTTTATTAAATAATATTTTTTCTTATAAAGCAATTTTTGCATATATATATATATATATATATATATATATATATACTATTTCAATTTCAATGTAAAGGTCCCATGAGATCTTATAAGGTAAAAATGATACCTTGTTCATGTATAATCGTGCAAAGTCATGAAGGAGAACACAGACCATTTAAAATAGCAGAAAACAGCCCAGCCGCATGGCCCCGGGGTTGAGTGTCAACCTATAAACCCGGAGATCACGGATTGATTCTGGTCAGGGCACAAGCTGGGGCTGTGGGCTCCAACTCTTGTAGGGGGGGTAAAAAAGGCAGCCAATCAAGTGTTCTCTCTCATCTGTGATATTTCTATCTCTCCGTCTCCCTTCCTCTCTGAAATTAATAAAAATATATTTTTTAAAATGGCAGAAAATACAAAAAGTGTTTCTATGTGACAGTATATTGCATTTTATCTGAAATGAGCCTGCATGTGAGAACTGCTTCACCGATTACAATGACGATTTTTTTGTACTATAATTTAAAATACCTTCTTCCACCTGAATGAGGAGGTAGACGTGGAGGAAGGAAGGGGAGGACAGAGGTGAGTATTCAACATTGGCTGGGTTTCATCCAACACAAGACAAAAGTCACACCAAGAACTGAAAGGTCACTATATTTGAATGTGTCTATTACTCTGACTCATAAGGAGTGTCGACACTGAAATGCTGTCTAAAACTTGCTTCACAATGAAAACCATGGCTAAGGAGAGCACTATAAAACAACTAGAATTCTTAAAATTAGAATTCTCAGGATCTGCTGCAAAATTATTCTCTTCACACAACTTCTCAGTGAGCAGAATTTCCATGGAACTATAGAATTAAACTGACCTTCCCAATAAGAGAAAAAATAAGGCCCACAAATTGAAATGAACTAATCAATGCTTACCATTAAACTTTTAAATTTTCTATTTTCTGCAATGTGAAATAAGCCATCTCTTGTTACAATCTTGATATGCTTTGCTTCATTATTGTACCTGTGGGCAATGAATAACGTATGAATATAAATGTGGCTTTAATCAGAAGAAATCAATAATGGCCAGAGGGCATGCCCCCATAACGCTATAGGAATTAATTCAGAAGACAAAATATATACCTGTGCCAATACAATGGTGACAACTCATTTACCAAATATATTTACTAGGTCGGTTGGAGATACAACCAATCTTTGAAAGGAGAAGGGAAACTAATTTGACCAATCATTATGCTCAATATGTTCAGTAAGTCCCACTGGAGAACACAGGAAAAGAAAATAAAACGAGATAGAGTCATGTATACTCTTAGAATTTACCAAAAACATCCACGTCAAGTCACCCAAATACAATGTTATGACGAGAGCGGACATGCCAATTAGCAGCCTTTACCACTTGACGGTGTTTTTCTAACGGGTGTTTTCAAGTGGCAATGACCTGTCTGGACAGAAGCATCGTTCCTGCTGTAATTAGATCCTTGGTTTTCCCCTGCAGGGCTCCACGTGTCGGAGGGTCTATGCAGTTCTGCAACAGGAGCTGTATTTCTGTAAAAGTGTTTGACCTACTTACTTAATGCTAATCGCGTATTCGCCCGACTCTTTGGTCCGGAGCCTCACCAGGTAAGTGCTGTTCAGCCTGTTGATCAGTTCGGTCTCCGCCTGCAGTCTCTCCATCGCCCCGGCGTACCTGTAAGAGACAAGGAGAGGCATCCGTGTCATGTGCCCGGAAAAGAGTAGAGGCCACAGGTAAGTATCTGCCAGGATTTTAACTCCGTGGCAGGTCTGAGCTCTCCTGACTTCTGTGCCAACTAATTCTATCACTTCAAAAGGAATAAGGAAGAGACTTCCTCTGGTTCTTCCAAACACAAGTGCTCTACAAAGCTAACAGGAGTAAAATGAGACATGCTTAATACACAGTAAATATTTATCAAATAGCTGACTGAGACAAGGAGAGGAGCCAATAGGTACCAGGTTAAAGAGAGCTGTAGGGAGTTTAGGTAAGACACACAAATGTACACACTACACACGTACACACACACGTATACCCACACAACCCCAACACTTCACCTCTCCTATGTACACTATGAAATGAAATCTACTTTGAGCATCTTTCTCAAGAAAACTCCAGTAACAATTTAAGTTATTTCTTAAACTAATTTTTGGATAGAAGATGAACTCTGTTAGCCCACATATTGGCTAAAAGCTATTTTCTCAAGCAACTAGCAGTACTGAGTAAAACATGTCTTTAAGAGTTTTTTTTATTGTTGCCTTTGAACACGCCCCCATCCATCTAATGGACATGGAATGTGTTTTGGCACCCCCTCCTTTCAGGAGCCCTTGAACTACGGGTCTGGCATTTCAACTCGGCTGCATAAACATTTTTAATACTTACCAAGGCTGGCAAGAATAATCTACTGGTTTGGGCACCTAGGATATAAAAAAAGCCAAAATAGATTAAGTTTACTTAAGGGAAGCTTTTAGAAATCAATCACTAATTCCGTTCAGCTGACTCAGCGAGAAACCCCTCAGTAACAGCCCCAGGTCTGTCCACCCGCCATTTCGTCCACAGTGAATCACGGTCTGTGTCAGGGAAATAGAGCATAATTCATCTGGCTTTCATCCATTCTTTCCTTCATTTTGCTGCCACTGTACTTCCAAGGGGAGAGATAACAGGAGAAATATGAAGTGGAAACTTAGGGTATTTTTTTAAATCAAGGCAGTTTAGTCTTCTCGTGGAAAATTAAAAGGAAAATGTTAGGGTAACCGAATAGCACCCCGGCTTCCTCCAGACACTGGCAAACAGGCCCAGCGAACAGTATGTCCTTCAGGTGGCCTCTTCATTTGTGACACAAAGTCTACACTCTGATCTTCAGGAAAAAGTCATGGAAAAGATTCATTTTTTTCTCTCTTTGAAAAAGAGAAAAAAGATATTACATTTCCTAAGCTCCCAACGAAAGAAACAGGAAGAAAAATCCCTCCGATTGCTTATGGAATCTAGACAATGAACAAAGCCAATGCGGGTATACTAATACTCATGGAATAACAAATAAAAGACACGCTATGTAGATGGGCAAAGTTGATAAACCCGGGAGTGCACAGTTGTCTCTTGTTCAGAAAGTTTTCATGAAATCATGTGACTCTGTAATATGGACGCACAAAGGCATATTCCTGGGCCTTTTAATTTCCAATGATTGAAAATGGTATTAGCATCATTTTTAACAGTAAAAGCGATCGTATTTCAGAAGTGTGGCCAATGTGAGCATGCCTGGTTTCATAGTAGGCAGTTACTCTTCTGTCCTTTCAGATGAAGAGTCAAACATCTCTAAAACTATCAACATTTAAATACTATGACCCATGCTGAAACTGGTTTGGCTTAGTGGATAGAGCATAGGTCTGCGGACTGAAGGGTCCCAGGTTCAATTCCAGTCAAGTGCATATACATTGGTTACGGGCATATCCCTGGTAGGGGTTGTGCAGGAGGCAGCTGGTCGATGGTTCTCTCTCATCGATGTTTCTAGCTCTCTATCCCTCTCCCTTTCCCTCTAAAATCAATAAAAAATATGATATATATATATTTTAAAAAGATGCTCCAGTATAGAATCAGGAAGGACTGAAATACAGCAACTACGACAGATTAAGGGTGGTTTTGTTTTTCCCAAACTATCAACTCCATTATTTTAGTAAAAACATTTATTTACCGAGAGCCAAGAACTTAATTGTTCCTCAGAAAAATCCACCCAAAACAGCAAATTATGATGATAAAATAATGTCACCCCTAAACAGAAATTTATAAATCTCATAAAGCACTAGACAGTGCATATTGGTTTATAGTCGTCTGTAATAATATTTGAGTAAATACTCATGCATTCTCCTTGTATCAACCTAATGTGCTTGATGATTTCGTAAAATGTCATTATAACATTAAGTAAACAGCAGTGACAAGCTAAAGCATGCTTTCCAACACACTAGTTCAAGTGTAACATCTCTCTGTAACTCAGCATGACTGGGACTAGATTAGACCCCCATCTCACCTGGAGGGAGTGGGGGAAGGGAAGGGAGAAGAGAAATTGGTACAGTTCAGCTGATCTGTAGCTTTGGAGAATCCTCCTAAAACCTGTAGACAATTTAATTTTATAAATTCTACTAAGTTAAATGTTCTTCTTACCATACTCTTCTACCTTTGAAAAATATTTTCTGACAATCAAATCATAATAATTGGGGGATTTTAATAGCACTGGCCAAAGCGTTCAAACACACAATAATATGATTGCTCCAGAAATATTGACAAAATTAATGAGCAACCAGGCCAGCATCGATTGCACATCCTTGAACAATGAATTACAACATCAAAAAAACACAGAAGAAATAAAATACTCATACTTACACATGGGCAAGGCTTGACAGCGTCACTCGGAAAAAATCCAACCTCTCCTGTGGCTAAATTTCTACCCTGAATTAGGGGGGAAAAAATCCCAATTTAGAACAAATTTAACACAAATGATAACTTCGTAACACAAGGGACACGGCCGTGACTCGGGGTCCTCAAGCCTGGCGCATCCGATCCAGGGAACTCACGCGGCTCAGGAACGGAAGCAAAGAGCGGAGAGCTTTTAAGATCATTAAACCCTACACGTGGTTTCAGAACATGATTATAAACTAAGAATTCAAGCTTGACTCTCCAAACCACCATTCAGTTTTGTTAACTTGACATTCCTCAATCCTACCGGGGGACAATAAGCAATACTCTGTTTTTCAATTTCATGGTCATTAATCCAAGCAGATCATATTGGTCTTGGGCAGGCTCCATAATTAATGAGGGACTCGATTTACATGGTTATCATGGGTGTGGCTAACAGAACTTGTGAGCACATTCCTCCAGGACAAGGGACAGTTCAAGATATGCAGAAATGGAAAGCACAGCATAAGGTGATGTTTCTGATGACTTTCATATTTAGGGAAAAGGAGTAGGATGCTAATTAAGGGAAGAGAACAATGATGACCTTGGAGGAGAGGATCTTAACCCCAAACAGCACTGTAAATGAGAAAAGAAGAAAGAAACAGCAGAATAAGGAAAATTGACGCACAAAATGGACAAAATAAAATACCTCAGAATTTATTCTTGGAGATCATTGATAAAATTCCTCTTTTATTTTTAATATTTTATTGATTTTTCACAGAGAGGAAGGGAGAGGGATAGAGAGCTAGAAACATCGATGAGAGAGAAACATCGACCAGCTGCCTCCTGCACACTTCCAACTGGGGATGTGCCCGAAACTAAGGTACATACATGCCCTTGACCAGAATTGAACCCGGTACCCTTCAGTCCGCAGGCCGATGCTCTATCCACTGAGTCAAACCGGTTTCGGCCAAATTCCTCTTTTAAAAATAATCTCATGGCACTAACCTCGAGATTGTTTTTCTTTTCCAGAAATACAAACTCTCCTCAAAGCAGACTGCCACCCTCAGAACGGGTCATCACACAGTTCTTAGGAAACCGGGCTTATGTGGCTTTGCTACGTACCAACTGCTGTTTCTCAGAGCCTCGGAAGAGTCACACGTGATGGCTGGAGCTGCGTGCTCTGTGGCTTTTCACAAAGAGAAGCAAGACCAAGTGCCCAGAGCCCATCTCCCTCTCGAAGCAGCATCCCTGTGTGCCCGTGGGGCGTGGCACTGAGTGCAGGGGGAGACGGGCAGCTGCGTCTCCCTCCCCTTGGCACGCCTGTGCGGGCATCTCGTCCTGGGTCCGATAACCCACTTTCCATCCCTTCTACGCCTCCTCCAAATGCCCCGAGACTCTCTCAGCTACCCTCCCGTCTGACGTTTGTTCTTGCGAGCCCCTTAGCAACTTCAAGGTCGGCTTGAACATATGTGTCCTTGACAGGACGTGTCATCTGATATCCCCCGAGGCGCTGTCTTTGTGTGTGTTTGTTCTGCGGGGCGTTCTCTAGGTTACAGTGATGGCGCTTTTGTAAAACGGAGCAGCACGGGTGGGGTCATTCCTATGAAAGTGTTTTCTTTCAGAAAGAACCTGAGAAATGGGGTTATGGGCTGTATATGAGAAAAAAGATGTGACTTCATAATCTTCATTATGGGAATAGACCAGAACAAAATAATCTTAAATTAGAATTTATTTTTAAAATGCTATTTTTCCCTAAAAAGGAAATTGTTTCCCCGCAGGAAAGCATATCAAACTAAAATTATTGACGATTTCCCCCTGAATTCCTGAACCTCATCAATACAAATGCACACCAGACAATTATTTCTAACTGAACTCAGGTTATAATTACTTTTTATTTTTCTTCTGTAAGACTCACAGTGAATCGTAATGAATTAACACTATTCTGAATTTGCTGGCAGAAGTGATATTTCCGACCCAGCTGTACGGAAAAAAGTATTGATGGTCAAAAACTGCATTCTTAAAACCTGTAGCCAGGGATGGCTTCCCGGGACAGAGCACATCCTACAGAAATCTTCATTGCAAATTGCTTCGCTCCTGACTTTGTAGAAAGGGGACAGAATTGCTTTAAGAAAAATACAGCAGCTTTTCCCGCGGCTCATTTATCCCCATAATACCACTGGGGCCGGGCGCTAACGCACTCCTGGAACGGCGCTGGGCAATTGGAAACAGACGTGGGAAGCTGCATGATTAAAGGGACAGATGCGTGGTTATTTATGAAAGATCGGAAATTCCCCCAAGTTGCAATGCCCTAAACACTTTCAACGTATGCACAACGGCGCTGGGGAGAATACTGGGCAATCGATCACACTGGGTAACGGCCAGAACAACTGTCACCCCGCCCGTCACTCTCAGCAGACTGCCAGAAAGACACAGTGGGAGCATGCAGGGAACAACACATACAGGATGGCCCTGAATGATGGGAATAGAGGCAGATATACAAATGAGCTTACTGACTGGATGGATAGGTAGTTAGAGAGATAGAGAGAGAGAGAGAGAGAGAGAGAGAGAGAGAGAGAGAGAGAGAGAGAGATTAGATTTGGTGGAGGGATGGGTTAGGAGGTGAAGGGAGGATGGATGGGTGGGTGGGTAGATGGATGGATAGCTTACAGCAAGCACTATTTTTGGAATTACTCTCATAGGTTTTGTGAGTAAATGCGACAGAACCAAAGGACAGGCAAAGGAGAGAGGACCAGGATAGTCCCTGTCTGTACGGTTGTTGGTAAAGAGTGATCTGACTATAGCTGCAGCCATGTGACCCCCACTGTCATCAGCCAGATGTCTGTCAGTGCCGGGTCCTGGAAAGCTTAGAAAGGCAGTGTCAGACGGTGGGGAGGTCCATCAGATTTGCTCATTCTACTCCCAGCTCCGCCTAAAACATGGTGCACCTCAGGCAAGGGTCATGACAAGATCTGCCATGAGTGCCTCACCAGGGCAACAAGCGTCAAAGAGTTAACAGGTGTGAAAATATTCAATAAACGCTAAAAAGACCTCTTTCCCATGATGCCGACAATACACTTATTAATCACTCTCAATGGATCACTTCACTTCTGAATTCTCATTTATTAGGTGGCCTGTCCGTGTTACTAAACCAGAAATGCCGGGTCCTGTGTCTAGTCCCACCATCTTCCTTACTTTTAGGCAGCTTTGCTGAGCCACAAGTAACAGAGACCCAGAATTTTCTCCTGAGCAGGAAATACTGCATTCCAAATAGGCCATTTCTTTATCTCAAATGCCCGAATGCTTCCTTGCTTGGAGGCCCATTCCTCCATCGTAATTGCTTCCTCTGTGATAAGTGAGATGTGCATTTTTCCACTGGCGATTTCCTTGAGAACTCGCCAAGCACAATTGCATATGGTTACACTGAATGGTCATTACAATGAATTCCAAAATATGCCTGCGCACACACAGAACAAAGCCATAAGCCAGGAGCTTTTGTCGTCTCTTAGTCAGATGAGAATAGGATCTTTAACTTTTGTCCAATACATAAAACAATCAACCAACACGAGCCTGGTTCATTTGTAGCTAAGGGGCTGCCATGGCTCAGAATTCTGAATGACAAAGACAAAAAGACACTTGCACCTCCGTCTACCATCTTTGAAATGAAACGTATCTTTCATTTGTAAGGGATTATACAATAATTATATCAAGTCATCGAAATATAGGACTAATCCCTCAGGGATAGTGGAAGGTTCTTCCAACGAACACACAATTGTTTGTGTTGATTGCATCTCTGAAGTTTTGGCAGACGAAAGTGTCAAAAACTCCACACACACACAAAAAGTAAAGTTGTGAAATGCACACTAAGGGAAAAACACGAAAAAGCCATAAGCTGTATTTCCACACGTACATGCTGTGAGATGCATGTCACAGCAGAGTGAAACTCGGTGGAGCATTCTCCTTATTATCCAAACATGTATCCCTGGACTTCTCCCACAGGGAAGGAGCTTGCTGGGTAAGATACTGTCCAGGATGCAATCCTAAATCCCAATCTTATAACTTTTTTTTCCTGGTGAGAATAACTTTGATTGTTAACCAGAGGCAAGTGCTGATGAATTCTGCAGCGGCCCCTTTTCAGTGGATGCTATCATTTGGTCAACAACTCGGCAAGCGCAAGCCCCTCTGCCTGTAGGTAACCCCAAGCCCACCTGGTTACTTAACACCAATCTGGAAGCAGAGTGAAGTTCTACCACATCTTGGAAGAAATCCTGTTTGGAGAGAAGCCATGTAACACCAAAAAGTCTGAAACCTAGAAATTTGTTATTCTAATCCTGGCAAACAATTAATGAATGTTTTCTTATACTTGGAGGTATGTTTTTTGTTTGTTTGTTTGTTTTTAAAATATATTTTTAGAGAGGAAGGAAGAGGGAGAAAAATACAGAAAAATCAATAATGAGAGAGAATCATCCATGACTGCCTCCTGCATGACCCTCTTCCCCCACCAGGTACAGAGCCCACAACCCAGACATGTGCCCTGACCGGGAATCAAACCATGACCTCCTGGTTCATAGGCTGACGCTCAGCCACTGAGCCGCACCAGACAGACCTATTTGGTAGTTTTAATCATCATGATCACAGAGCAAATATTCTGAGGAACAGCTCGACACACATTACGCTCAAGCAACATCAGACATGGTTAAAAAATGTGATCTTCTACCAAGAACAGAATTAGTACTTTCATGCAAAGTGTACTGACTTCCCAGTATGGCTGAGGCACTAAGCTGGAGACCAGGGGATTAAAAATGAATAGATCTAGCTACTATCTTGAAGGATCTCACTCGATACCACGTCCTTGACTGGCTTTTGCTTTGGTTATCTTCATAGATTGTTGCAGAATTGGGGGGGTCCGAAAATTCTGATGAGGAATCATCAGATGTGGATGGCGAGTAGGGAGCAGGGGTTCTACTCCTGGCCCTCTGGCCTGGGGACAGTCACTTCACCCTCTTGGCTTCCACTTCCTCAGCTGTGAAATAACAGATGGACACCCAAGCATT